CATTCCTTCAACAATTGTTGCACAGACTTTATATTTCTATGTGCAGACTTTACATGCCAGGCAAACAAACAGTCTCTGTGATTGCATTCAGCTGATCTGGTTTGGCATACTATTCCATCAGCTTCAATGTCCTCATCATCAAAATTGGCATCAACAATATGCCTCAGATAATGAAAACCATCGTTTGCTTGCAGCATCATGTTAAAACCATTTTCACTCCAGATCTTTCCATAGCTTGGTCTAAGATCAACATTACTACCATTTTGCATGATTCTCTTTGTGGATATCAAATTGTGTATTGCGTTTGGGATAAAAACACAATCCTTGAGTGTAACTTCAACAACTTTGTTATCAGAGTTCAAGCCAAACACTTTTACAGTTCCAGATCCTGTGACTGAAAGGCTTTCACCTTCAGCTCCTTGTAGAGCAGGCTTACAATCTCTATCCAAATCAATGAACCACTTTTCAGATTTAATCACATGAAAACCACTTCCAGAATCAATTATGAATATATCATCATCCACATCACACTTCTCAGCAACAGTCAATGCATGCATATTGCTGCCTTGCTTTGTAGCATAAGCCGTTGAGGGCTTTTTCTCTGTCACAGCAAAAACATTCCGTCTCTCTGTGTGACCATTTGGATTGCTTTGGCCACGCCCCCAGAGGGTCTTCTTTCAGAGCGGTTAAACTCAGCGCGGTCACTTTTGGCAGGAGCCTTTTGGTCCCTTTGTTCCTGCAAATCTTTTGATTTAGGCAAACACTCTGACCGACAGAATTTTGCGACATGCCCAAGCTTCCCACATCGGAAACAATTTACATTTCTCTTGCCTTTGTTCCTTTCACATTCTGATTTAATACTTAACACAGACAAGTCACCTTTTGTTTGAGAAACTGCTCTCCTGTGCCCCTCTTCTCTCAGGTAAGCAAGAACATGGGGCAGAGTAAGGTTCAGAGACGCTTTGAGGGCTGCAACCTCGTGTGCATAATCTTTGTTTAAAGAACCAAGAATTATTGAAATTAAACTTTTATCATTCGGTTCTTCCTGCATTTCCTTCAGAGCATCGTACGTTTCCATTATAAAATTCAAATGCTCTAGTATGCACTGGCCATCTCGCATATGTGCATTTAAAAGCTTTTGATGGAGAAACACATAGCTCGCATTAGACTTTGAAGCATATTTCTCCTCCAACTTTTTCAACATGTCTTTTGCGTTTGCACATTTTAACATTTCCCTATTGTCCCATGGACACAGAGTTCCCATGATAAGGCTCATTGCCAGACCATCACTAGCAATATATTTTTCCAACTCTTTCCCCCTCCCGCGGGGGTGTCAGAATCAATCACAGAAAGAGCCGTGTGTGACTGAAGAACATTTCTAACGCATATCTGCCACCAGTCAAAATTATGATTATTCAGAACCGGGAGATTACCGAATGCTAGATTTTTGTTAGCTTGCATTGTGGCTTTCAATTGCTTAATTGCGCACATTTTAACATTTCCCTATTGTCCCATGGACACAGAGTTCCCATGATAAGGCTCATTGCCAGACCATCACTAGCAATATTTTATTCAACTCTTTCCCTCCCTCGGGGGGGTCAGAATCAATCACAGAAAGAGCCGTGTGTGACTGAAGAACATTTCTAACGCATATCTGCCACCAGTCAAAATTATGATTATTCAGAACCGGGAGATTACCGAATGCTAGATTTTTGTTAGCTTGCATTGTGGCTTTCAATTGCTTAATTGCTCAATACTTCACCACTCCGCAGAACGTAGAAAGGAAACTGGGCGATCCTTTGATGTGCGCGAGGCTCCAAGCCTTCCCAGCAGCTTCGATCTCACCCCCTCCTCTTTCTCTCGCTCTCCGAGCTCCGGCTTGTTGAGGTTGCTTCGCAGGGGAAAAAGATGTCTCAAGTCAAACAGCCACAGGATTCTCTCCGGCTCGAAAACACAGCCCTTCAGACTGGTTTTACGGACTCTTGAAGAAAAACTCAGGAACGTTGCTTGAGCACCATAGATCCAATTGCAAATTTAAAAACAAAAAAATTTTCTACCTTAGAAAAATACTAACACACATGAGTTGCATTTCTCTGGTCTATTTCTGGCATTCCACACAGCGGAAGCGTGCTGGGCCCATAACCAATTTTGTTGGAGTTTCTTTATGAAAATTGTGTTTCAGCAGAGAATAAAACAGCTTAGCAATGCCAGAGTTCAATAATCAGACGCAGAGTCCATTGTGTGTTTAAAATATAAAAGATTTACTACAATTCTACCATAGGGAAGGGTAACTGGGAGAAAATAACAACACAGCTATCTCAGCTACATCCTCTCTCTACAAAGTACAAGACTAGAAGAAACTTGCAATGGCCACTCTCACATGCTTCTTCTCCAAACAGAACAAAGAGAGGCCATAAAATGCAAAGACACTAACACTTTGCTCCCAATCAAACTCTCAGAACAGGGATGCTTTTCGCGGGCTTGCAGGTCTAAGCTAACATTGGATAACACAAAGGCAGGTGATTTCCTGTGACAACAAAACAGACATTTAACCCCATACACACACAGTGTTTTCAACATGCAATACCCAACAAAATGTCTAGGGCACGCTTCTGAATTACGTGGGTCAGCTCATGAGCAAGTCATTCGGCCCGGTCCTTATCCCAGGAGCAAAACTGTGGCGTTCTCCTTTTCGGACATCATCCCTGGCAGTCTGGTGCTTGGTACTGTAACCTGCATCTTTAAGGTCTTCCAAGTGGTCTCCAGCACAGATCTTAAGACAGTTACAACCGCTGAATAGTCAAACCAGAACCAGTTCAGTGGCAAACTCTGCTTAGTTTGCCATAGTTACGGGGGGGGAGGGAAATTCCTACCGGTGTGTGTGTGTGTGTGTGTGTGTGTGTGTGTGTGTGTGAATGGCTGAGTGTGTGTGGACCGCTCTTTCCTGGGCATCATACCTCTTCCTTAAGATACCTTCTTCCTAGAGGAACGGAATGTCCTTGAGAACGAAGCTGTGCCAGCTTGCTATTGTAGATAACAAGATCATATATTCCCCCCCGGGGGGGGGTAGTGAACGCAAGAGCTAGGTGGGACAGCTGAGACGTGTGATTGGTTAGGGTTAGAGGGGCCTTAGTTTGAACTGTCTGTATCTTTGGATTCTCCCACCTGAACCTCAGTTCTGACACGGGACTGTTCTAACCTGGATCAGGCTGATATCTCAGTAAGCAAATCACTGCCGAAGAGAGTGTTGTTGGGAGTCTCTTGACCAGGAGTCTGACAAAGTGACTCAGCGCTCCCTTTCTCCCTTTGACCGTCGTACCACCAAAGGGATGGCTGACGAAGGCGAAGGCACAGGGATGGTCACTGGGTCCGAAGCTGAGCTCCTGGCCCCTGACAAGAAGGACGAGCAGCCGGCTGGCCCCAAACCCAAGAATCACATGGTGTACTGGGACATGGGGGCTAAGCCCAAAGACCACCGTAGTGGTCGCAACCGGTGGGACGAGCCGACGTGGCTGATGGGCACCTCCAGGTTCAGAGGCGCGAAGGCGCATGCGGAACGAGAGCACCTTCCAAGACGACCCTGAGCACCTGAAAGTGATGGAGGCACTGGGAGAGGAGACGAGCACCGAGTGGGCGCATGCGCACAGCTCAGAGCGGAGCTGAAGGAGCTCAAGGAGGGCCTCCAAACCCTCGCTGAGAACGTCCCCACCGTCATGAGAACTTCCTCATGCAGCAAGAGACCAAGGAGGAGTCAAAAGAGGAGCTGGAGGAGCAGCGTCGACAGCTGCCGGGACCCCCCCCTCTCTCGTTCCTTCAGTGGTGCCAGTCAGGGACCGAGAGCGACCCCCAGATGCCCTCAAGGCCGCAGCAAGCTTTCTTTGTGCCGGCAAGCGTGGACGTTTCTGAGCGAGTGGGGGGCCCCTGATGAGCGCCGCGTGCACTGTGTGGGGCCGCAGCTGCGATACCAGGCAGCTGACTGGTTTGTGGGCCTCTGCAACGTGTAACGTAGACTGTGCCCAGAGATGGCTGCGCTCTCCCAGCAGGGTCGTTCCCCCCCCCCCTGGGCCCACGTGAGGCACCCAGGGGCCAAGCGGGGCCCCCGCCCTGTTTCACTTGGTTCCCTCCACTCCCTTTTGTGCCTTCACCCCCTCCCCCCACCCACCCCGGTGATGCGCCTGTCCCTTTGCCGTGCCTTCGCCTTCATTTATGCTGCTCTGGCCAAATGGTTTTTAATTGTGTCATTGGTCTGGAATGTCAGCGAGGAAGATTGACTATAAATGAAGAAAGAAGGAAGGGCTCTCCTGGTGGTCCTCCTTCCAAACACAAACCGTGTTAATGAAGAGGGGAAGTCACCCTTGCTCGAACTTCCCACGATGGATCCATTGCTGGGGCTACCTTCAAGCACAACCTGAGGAGAGAGGGTCTCTCTGACCATTGGCTGCATTACACCTGCCCTTCCGCCAAGAGTGAGGTTGGGACCTTGGCTCTTCTGGTATCCTTGGACACCGTAAAGTAACTAGCAGGCCAACGACCCTGTCTTCAAACGTGCCACAGTCGGTGTTGGCTGTGTTTCCACTCTGTTTATGTGACCCACCATCCAAGCAGGAACAGAAAAGAGGGGGGGGGCTAAAAGAAGGACCGTTTTTTGAGGCCAGGCCTGCTCAGGAGTTGGTGGGGGGGGTCTCTCGCTTTCTCCCTCCCTGAGCGGGACACGTGAGTTTCTGCTGCCCCAGAGGGCAAAAGTAGATCTAATGGCCTTCAATTACTGGAGGGTAGATTTCGGATGAATCTGAACAGAAAGAACACCCAAGCAAAGAACCAGGCTGGTGGGGCAGGGGGTCTCCTCCACCTCAGTGGGGATTTCCAGACGGGAGGAGGAGGCTGGGCAGCCATCTGTTGGGGGGGGGCGGCCTCTCTCTGTGGGCTTGGGATGCTTGCAGGGAGGACCTGTCAGCCGCCTTGCGTCACATTGAAAAGTGGGGTGTAGCTGTTTTAGGAAATATCCCTTCCAAGAACAGTTTCTTTTGAGGAAGCAAGACACAGTTGTCATATGTGCTCCCTTCTGTTGTCAGCCCCATTTACATTTCATTGGGAGTTCTTTTCTAAACACCAGAAAATTGGTCCAGGCTCAGAGTTGCACTAGGTGATTTTAGAATCATTAGACAAGCTAATGGTCGTGTGCCCCTTGCCCTGGGGTGGCAAGAGATTCTTCACGTGCTCAGTTGCAGTCGGTGGGTGGGTGCTGCCCTGACGAGTGGGCTCCCAGCCTTCCACCCCAACCACAGACTTCCCCTCCACGTCAGTCTGGTGTCGTGGCTGAGTGCGCGGACTCTAATCTGGGAGAACCGGGTTTGAGTCCCCACTCCTCCGCTTGCAGCTGCTGGATGACCTTGGGCGAGCCCTCTGTCAGAGCTGTTCTTGAAAAAGAGCAGTTTTTGTCAGCTCCACCTGCCTCACGGGGTGTCTGTCTGTGGTGGGAAGGGGAAGGAGTTTGTCAGCCGCTCTGAGACTCCTCTGGGTAGTGAAGGGCCGTGGGGCATAGATCCAATCTCTTCTCTCTCTCTCTCTCCTTCACGTGTGGGTCAGTCAAGCCAGGAAGAGAGACCCCTCCAGTCCGTACTAGGAAGGGATTCTCATAAAGGCAGCAAGAGGGTGGCTTATTATGGCAAGCGAGGCTCAGTGGCCACCTCAGGCTTTGGGTGTGGATTGCGGGACTGCTGCTGGAGCGCCTCTCTCGCCTCCTCCTCCTCCTCCCCGGCAGGTGGCCCGAGCCCTGCAGCCTTCGGTCCTCTGGGTGGGGAATGAAAAACAGGGGGAGGAGAGCCCCAAGGGAAGAGGTCGCAGCCCCTCAGGTCAAGTGTGGGGTGCGAGTGGGAGCGTTAAATGGAGAGCATTTCCCCCCCCCCCAAGAAAAGGAGTGGGGTGGGGCTGTTGATCCTGCTCTCTGGTAGGCATCCCCTGACCAGTGAACTTGGGGAGGGGGAGGCAGAGTTACCAACCTCCTGGGGGCCTGGCTTTACGACTGGCCTCCGGACTCCCTCGACCCCTCCCCCTGGAGGAAACGACAGCTCTGGTGGGTGGGCTCCGTGGCTGCCGCATACCCCACGGAGGCCTCCCTCCCCAGGATCCACCCTCAAATCTCCCAGAATTTGCCCCCCCCACCGCCTCCCTCCTTCCCCCCCAATGGGATTGATAAACCAGAGTGCGGTGGGATATGGGGGGGGGCAAGGGGGGGTCTCCTCTGCCTTGGAGGCGCAAGAGGGAGGAATTGGGCAGCGGGAGGCTTGGCTCCCAGTTTTTGCCCCCAGAGGGCAGCCCGTGGCCTCCGTCCCTCTCCGGTCTGCCAAAGGTGATGGGGGGGAGGGAGGGGGGGAGGCCCCAAGGCCCAGTGGGGCGAGCACACAGGACCAGTCCCCCTTTTGCCCCAGGGACTGATGCAGGGGGCTGCTCTTGCTGCACACAGTTGGACCCCAAGCGCCTGAGGAAGGACCTGCCCAAGGCCCTGAACCTGCTGACGGCTGCGGACAGAGTGCTGCTGATGGGCACCTCCAGCAGGCCCTACCTGGCGGACGTCAGGGGTCTCTGCAAGGCCTACGAGAGAATCCTGCTCATCCCCCGGCCGGACTATGCTTCGCGCTATGGTGAGGGCTGGGGGCCGGGTGAGAAGCGGCCCAGCTGGGGGGGGGGGTCTCCTGCCTGCCTGCCTGCCTCTCCAGTGGGTGGTGGGCCTCGGCACGCACTTGAGGCCATATTCCCCCCCCCCGATCATGGCCCCCACACGCAGCCCTGCCATGGACCCCACTTGCGCCTCTGACAG